AGAGATGAGGTCTTATTTGCTCTTGTTCAAACTGATCTCAAACTCCTGACCTCAAGCAATCCTCCTGCCTTGGCCTCCCAAAGTGCTAGGATTACAGGAGTGCACCACCAAGCCCAGCAGGGAATTCTTTTTAAATAAAAAAGTAACTCCTCTTTGTTTAGACCAGCTGACTTTGCATAAAACAAATGAGTAGGGAAATGCATCCCAACTGATACGATGTCTTTTTTTCTCTTTCATTTCCAATTATTTCTGCTAAAATTATATTTGTTGAGTGATATTACATTCACAATTATGTCTATTTTCCAATAACCCCATTATTTGAAATGCTAATCAGAGGCTCAAAGACCATTCAGCAAGGCTGTTCCAGAAAAGATTCAAGCATGAGGAATATTCAGATACACGATCTTTAAGGTCCCTTCCAACACTACCAAATTCTTGGAGTCCACAGTTTTACACTTGCTTACCGAATGAAGACATCCTCCATGGTGGTGACAGAAACCCCAAAGCTGGCTATGCCCAGCTCTGTCTGCCTCAGTTCCAAGTCCATAAATAGAGATTCAAACCTGAAAAGAAAGAATGGTTTTATTTCTGAAATATGGAAAGTGAATCCTTCATTACCACCCTTGACTCTCTACTGAGAAAAAAGCATGATCTTTGGAGTCAGGAAGGTATCTGTTCAAATACTAACTTCATTATTCTCTACCTTCATAGCTATGGGAACTCGAACAATGAGGGTAATAGCATTTACTTTGGAAAGTTCCCATGGGCAAGAACAAACCCAAACCACATCTAGCATGTCATAGATGCAAACTAATTATTAATTCATTCTTTTCTTTTTTTTTTTTTTTTTGCAGGGGCTGGGTTTGAACCTGCCACCGCCAGCATATGGGGCTGGCGCCCTACTCCTTTGAGCCACAGGCACTGCCCCTATTCTTTTCCTTTTAGTAGAAAGAAATAATTACTGTTCTTGGAGAGCTTACTAAATTCCAGGAGCCATGTATTAAGTTTGTCAGTCTTTTCAACAACTCTTTAATGATAGTGCTGAAAGATTAAGAAACTTCCCTGAAGTCAAACAATGAAAGAAGTAGAGCTAGGATTCAAACTCAGGCCTTCTGTCTGGAGAGACAGTGATTTTTTTTTTTTTTTTTTTGAGACAGAGCCTCAAGCTGTCCCCCTGGGTAGAGTGCCATGGCATTACAGCTCACAGCAACCTCCAACTCCTGGGCTCAAGCGAGTCTCCTACCTCCGCCTCCCAAGTAGCTGGGACCACAGGCGCCCGCCACAACGCCCGGCTGTTTTTTGGTTGCAGCCATCATTGTTGTTTGGCGGGTCCGGGCTGGGGATTCGAACCCGCCACCTTAGGTGTACGTGGCTGGCGCCTTAGCCAGTTGAGCTATAGGCGCCGAGCGAGAGACAGTGATTTTAACCACAAGGCTAAGTGAGGAAATGTGCTAAATATTACTAGCCTGCTAACTTGAACCCTTCTTCATTAATGCCTTCCATTTCTTTGAACTGAATGAACCATGGCTTTTTGCGTGATATTAAGAAATCCATCACAATCTTCTACAATGGAGGCTTCTTGCAACCCAGTGTCCAGCCCAACAAAGTGCTTTTGGGAAACCACATTCACAAGCCAGATGCCCCTACGTGTTCTGTGCATGCCCCTGCGGGCAGACAGTGGCTAGAAATCACTTGGGGCTGGGTTTGAGTCCAGACTCTGCCACTTACTAGCTATGTGACTTTGGGCTAGTTATTTCATTTCTCCAAATCTTTCCTCACTAGTAAAATAGATATTGCATAATTCACAGAGTTGTAAGGATTGAGAAAAATGTAAAAGCACTTAGCAAAGTAGCCGGCCTGTGTTAGATGTTCAGCAAACACTATTTACCCAATACTATCAATATTTAAATCTTTGCTATGCTCAGTATCTTGCTCTTTATTCAGTTTCTAGTTACCAAAATTATACTCATGCCATTGCTACTATCTTGCCAATAAGGTCAAAATGTCCCTTTTTAAAAACTAAGGCAAAATTTACATACAGTAATTGCCTTGTTCTTAAGTTTATAGTGAGACAGTTTTAACAAATGTATAAGATCACCCTAATCAAGACACAAAACATTCCATCATGATAGGAAATGCCCTTATGCCCTCAGACAACACTGTCCTGATTTCTATCACCATAGGTTTTGCCTTTTTATTGTTCATATAAATGGAATCATATGGTCTTTTTCACATCTAGCTTCATTCATGCAACATGTTTTCAGGTTCAGACATGTTGGTGTATACATTACACCATTCTTGTTAATTGTGGAGCATACTCTCAGTATACATGTTGATGTATACATTACATCATGTTTGTTAATTGTGGAGCATATTCAGTAGAAGAAATATACCTATTGTCCTGGGAATTGACATTTGAATTGTTTCCATGTAAGGATGCTTATGAATAAAGCTGCTATAAAAATTCTTCTATGGGGTGGTGACTGTAGCTCAAAGGAGTAGGGCGCTGGCTCCATATACCAGAGGTGGTGGGTTCAAACCTGGCCCCAGCCAAAATTGCAAAAAAAAAAGGAAAAGAAAAGAAAATAGCTGGGCATTGTGGCGGGCGCCTGTAGTCCCAGCTACTTGGGAGGCTGAGGCAAGAGAATCACTTGAGCCCAAGAGTTTGAGGTTGCTGTGAGCTGTGATGCCATAGCAGTCTACTAAGGGAAATAAAGTGAGACTGTCTCAAAAAAAAAAAAAAAGATTCTTCTACATGTCCTATGTTTAGACATATGCTTTCATTGGTCTTGCATAATATGGTAGATAAAGGTAACTGTAAATTCTTTGCCACTTCTCCCACTGAGAGGTGGTCTTTCATTCCTCCCCCCCTTTTTTGAGACAGTCTTATTTTGTTGCCTTCAGTAGAGTGCTGTGGCATCACAGCTTACAGCAACCTCAAACTCTTTGGCTTAAGCGATTCTCTTGCCTCAGCCTCCTAAATAGCTGGGACTACCCACTCCTGCCAAAATGCCTGGTTATTTTTAGAGACGTGGCCTCACTCCAGTTCAGGCTGGTCTTAAACTCCTGAACTCAGGCCATCCCCCCCACCTCGGTCTCCCAGAGTGCTAGGATTATTCCCCTTCTTTTTATCTGACTTGGCTTTAGTGACTTAATGGCAAGGAGGATGCAATGGAAGTGATGGAGGTCAGGCAGAAGGTGGCTTTAGGTCCCTTGATTTCTCTGGGAACCCTAAGTTATCAGGTAAGATGCCTCACTACCCTGAAACTACTATGCTGAAGAGGACAAGTATAATGTTCTTCCCAGCTTCCCAGCAATCCCTGCCAAGAAGTAAGACATGAATGAAGCCATTTTGGAACCGTTAGATAAGTCCATTTGCCAACTCATCTTATTTTTTTGAGACAGAGTCTCATTCAAGCAACAACCTCACAGCAACTTCAAACTTGAGCTCAAATGATCCTCTTGCCTCAGCCTCCTGGGTAGCGGGGACTACAATAGCCACAACACCTGGCTATTTTCTAGATTCTTTTTGGGACAGAGTCTCCTCCTGTCACCCAGGCTGGAATATAGTGGCACAATCAGAGCTCACTGCAGCCTTAAACTCAAGTGATTTTCCTGCCTCAGCCTCCTGAGTATGCACTATGGTACCTGCTATATTTTCAATTTTTATAGACAGGGTCTTGCTGTTGCCCAGGCTAGTTTGAACTCCTGGCCTCAAGAGATCCTCCTGCCTTGGACTCCCAAAGGGCTAGGATTACAGGTGTGAGTCATTATGCCTGGCCTACATATCATAGTGTAATCAATTTCTAATTTAATTCCACTGTAGTCAGAGATACTACATCCCAGTGGGTAGAGTCAAGGGCTGATTAAAACCACTCTTAGGAAGCCAAATTATGTCTTATTAAATATACATTTCTTGACCATAAAAAAGCAGAAATTTGTGACACATGAATTACTACAGATACTTGAGGAGCTTCATTGGTACCTAGACACAATTCAGATGATGAGATCCTGAATTTTCCACAGATTCTGTAAAGGGATGAGACTTTTTAGTGGGGAAGTCTCAAGAGGCATTAGTATAACTTGTATGTGGGCATGTGGGAAGGATGTGGATCTTGGTGACCAGGGGGTGGACTAGGATGCAAAATTGGCCCAACAATCCCCCCTTCAATGTTTAAGCCTCTAGTTACTCAAAAGATAGACTTAATTTCCTCTCTTCATGAGAGTGGGCTACTCCTTGCCTACTTTGAAAACAGAATAGGACAGAAGTAACGTTCTAAGATTTCTGAGACCAAGGCTAAGAAGGACTGATATTTTTGTTCCTTTTCTCTTGGAATACTCATTCTTGGGTTTCTTCCTCTTGAAACTCATGTCATAAGAAGCCCAAACCACAAAGAGGGACCAGCGAGAAGAACCAAGGTACTTCGATTTTAACAACACTCAACTTGTAGATGACAGCCAGCAACAACTTTTCAGACATGAGAATGAACCTTCTTGAATGTGTCAACCTACTCTAGTCCCTACATGACTCAGCCCAAACTGATAGCTCAACCTGGAACAGAACTATCCAGATGAGTTCAATCAAATGAGAATGCTGAGAGGTGGCTGCTTATAAAACAAGTAAATTTTAGGCTCGGCGCCTATAGCTCAACCGGCTAAGGCGCCAGCCATGTACACCTAAGGTGGCGGGTTCGAATCCCCAGCCCGG